TGCCTTCCAAGTCTTTTCCTACCTCCAGTGTTTATCTTGGGAGAATTTACTCTTTGAATCCCACAGAACCAGCTCCCAATAAAGTCATCATGGGTGCTCAACACCTTCAAAATCTGCTGTTAATGAAGAAATCTTTCCACCAGTAGGCAAAAGCATTGAATTCGTGTGCTGCTTAGTGATGTGCTCAACAGATTTGGGCAAATCAAAGTGAATAAAATTGAAGTGAAAATGCCCCTTAGCCTAGTAGAGTCTATATGAGAACTAAATTTATTGTCCTTTCTCTTCTGGTTTTATCTCTTCACCAACAATCTATTCAGAGAGAGAGGAGGACACTGACAAATATGTAGTTTTAGAGACGATGGAAGGGAGATGATCTTCATATGTCACTCAAATTCCAGTCCAAATTGTCTGCTTGGTTTTTATTAAGTGGGGAAAAAACTCACTTGGATGATGTGAAGCACTACCTTTAAAGCAGAATCTTTTGATTATATTTAGTTTACTGAAATCCATCATGTTTATGAATATGCCTGGGAGAACTTTCCCTCTTGCTCCAGTAAATAACTTGTTAACAATGTGTGCTGCTCTTTGCCTGTAAAGTGCCCTGACTCAGATGCAAACTAGGAACCTCATAGTTTTGCACCTATGAAAAATGGAGATGGATCCCAAAATTTGCATCTGGCTTATGCACCTAATCAGGCAGGGCTGAATCCTCACTGCCATGTGGAAAGGAAATACTCCAAGCACATATTGCAGCTCATCAGCTCAGTGTGTTGGACACAAGTGTGTTGCTTGGACTTGAGCAACCTTTTCCCTTCTTATCCTTTCAGTCCTGTGAGCTGCCAGAAGCACCTGACTTCTGCAGATCTACAGCAGAGAAAACAAGGGCAAAGTGGAAAAAAAAATCAACATGGAAAAATAGTGGTGTCTATAAAGAGGATAGGTAAATCTACACAATAATTAGCAGTTTGAAATTAGGAAGAAAAATTAGAAATTACTAGGGAAGATTTAATCCTAATCTTTTCAAAAACCTGATGCAATTAGATAAAGCCAGAGTGAGCAGGAAAGTTGACAAAGGATTTGATGAATGTGCAGCTCAGCTCAGCATTATAAAGCAACTCTGAGGCTGGGCTTTGCTAGCCATGAATAGCAATGAAACCCCCTCATATTCCGTGGATTACTCAGGATAAGCAATGCAAACACAGTGCATTGCCCAGTCCTGTTCAAACTCATAATCCTTCTTTATTGGCCATTACCTGGGGATCTTGGCAGGCAGAAAAACACCCACAAGCAGTGCTGGCAGTGAGAGGGCACTGGCAGGATCTGGGATTTGAGTGTTCCTGCAGATCTCACAGAGATGAGCTTGGGCTGAGCCTCTGAATACCCCATTGCTCTCTGTGCTGTCTTTTATAGAGCAGGACAGGCTGTGAAATCTCTCAGGTATGCAATGTTTAATTAAAAGGCTCTCCATTCTGTGTTTTCGCTAAGAGAACAGCTCTGTCCTGGATTTTCTCTTTCCATCTGTGACTCAGAGCCTACTTTCTTATTTGTGGGTGTGAAAATATTTTGCAAGTCAGGGAGCTGTGCAGTCTGTCCAGATACCGAATGTTTCCTGTTCCTAATACATGTGGAGATGTGATTTCCACACATCTGGATACCAAGAGAGCTAGGAAATCACCTCCATGGGTGAGATGGGATGTTTAGAGGATGAAGTTCCAGCAGTTGCTTTCATACCAATTGACTCCATAACCTTGGCATGGCACTTGACTTCATCTGTCAGAAATCAACTCTTGTTGAAACAGTAATATCTTAAATATTTAAATTTCTTGAGTGCAGAGGACTTAAACAGAACTTCCATCACATGGACAGCTTACAGATGCCTCAGATTTCATGAAAGTTCAGAACCTGTGATTTCACATTAATAGGTTGATAGAGATTAATGGAATTTCATAATGTATTTTGACCCTAACTATAGTATTACACTCCAGAGATCCCCCCTTGTGCCATTCACATGCAAAACACCATGTCAGGTGGTAATAAATGTGAGCCACACAAATGGGAAAATGCAGAAATTCCTCAGGTGTAGAGTGACAGGAGTGGTTTGGTGATAGTTTGTGTGAGAGCAGCACCAGAGCTGGGAATGGATTGTTCTTCATGTAAAGAAGAAAATGAGGACCCAGGTTAGCAATTCCAAGACTCAAGTATTGGATTAACACAATCACAAATATGATTTAGGGCTGAAAACCACCGTGACTGTTGAATATTTTCTTCACATTATTTCTCTAACCATTATTTGGGATACACTTCAATAGTCCAATTTTAAGATGTCTTGCAAAGTAGCGGACTAAATTCCCTTTATATTCAAAATAGGCTCCTCTGGAACATCATTAATCTCACCCAGTTTCAGTGTCTACATTATTATGACAAGCATCTGACTATAAAAGTGCCAGCCTCTGCTTCTCTCTACTGAGAATGAAAGTTTGAGGCAATTACTGTGCATGTGGGGGGTCCATTGCAGGTACCTGACATTAAGGGAGAAGAATTCCTTATCTTCTTTCAGCTTTTCCATCACACAACCTCAAGCTACCCTACAAAGTAAAATACTTGAAAAATGAGCGCCTCAGGAGGAATTGTAGAAGGGACGTGGAACCTCCAGGACAGTTTTGAGTAGGATGGTTAAACAGTTTTGCTTTGTATCAACATAAACATGCAATAAATTGAGGACTTAAGGATTTGGTGACCAAAGAATTCCCACCAAGAAAGATAAGTTACTTTGGAAAACTCCCAGTCTTTCCTTGTTTGCCAAAGACCTGTTTCCAGAGTCAGACAGTAGTGAATGACAGAGTGATTCTTACAAAGGAAACCCAGTTACAGGTTTCTGTTTCACAAGGCATGCAAGCAGCTTTCCTGCTTTGCAGGGCAGATCTGGAAGTCAGACCCAAACATAATAAATTTGTTCATGCCATGGGAGTCAGGCAAACTATTAGTGACATTTGTACCTGTTGTCTGGTGTTTTGAAATCCTTTGTTTCAGAGTTTAGAGGGAGCAGGAGAGTTTTATGCCCAAGGGTTACTGTGTCCATGCATGAAGTCACCAGATTAGTTATGGCATGTCCATTGTTCTGTATTTTCTGCTGCTGCTGAGCAGAGATAACATGATGGAAAGAACAAAGCAGATTCAGCTTTTCTGCATTTGTCCCTGCTTTGTTGGATTTGCAAGAGTTTTTCTGTTACCTACTCATTGGTTTTTAAAACAATCTCATAAATATGATCTTGTACTAATAATGGAAGTGGTTTATTCAGATCTGGTAGGTAATACTGGCTCTATGGGGATGCACAAGTGTGGCCAAAAACTCATATGAATTGAGAGTCTGAACCTTGTACAGTATCTTCTGTTGGCCTACACAAGAAAATTCATGGTAACAACTGATATAACAAACAAAATATGAGATAACAAACTTGAAACCACAAAGGAGCAATTGCCTTCTGACCAAAAGCAAAAGAAAAGTGAGAAAAGATTAGTTCAAATCCTCCTGCCTCTGTGAGTCGCAGCAAACCACCATTCCCTTAAAGATCCATGTGAGAGCTCTGCAAAATCTTCAAAGCACATTTCAAGGGGAAACACACTTACAAAGGAGTGAACCAGTGGCTCTTTCTAGTACTGCTTTGAGGAATGATTTCCACCCTTCTGTAAGTCTGCTACCTCTTTGGATCAGTTTCTCTGTAAATTCACAGCAAGCTCAGACTACCTTGGTCAGAAATGAGTGTTTGCACTGAAGCTTTTTACTTTCCTTTTGGGATGTAGCTTCTGTGGAAAGCACATTGATGTTTTAAAGCCTTTTGAAATGATGGAACATTTCCTGCAGTTCACTGCTTTTGCACCATCTGGCACCTGAAATCTTCTCATCACCAAAGAGGTTTTAGAAGGCATAATGCAGCCACATTTGTCATTCAAACTAGATGTGATGGGGTCAGTCTTGGGAAACAGGATTAAAACCTTTGAGTAACCTTCAGATTCTTGCAGCCCCTGGTGCGTGTTTAGTTCTTCAGGCCATGCCAGCAGTATTTAATTGCGACCAGGAATCCTGGTGGTGTTGCCAGTAGGAGACCATTTAGCTGCTATTGGTGATGGTGTCTCTCCAACAATTGTCCACTGTGAAATGAATTAACAGTCTCCAGGCCTCAGCATTAGTGTTTGGTCAAATTTTGTGTTGTTAGGCTCTGGCACAGCTTCACAGAGGTGATAATTGCTGTGCAGGTGCTGTGTGCAGCCCCCCACACCACCCGCAGTCCTTGCAGCTCGTGCCTGTGATCTGTACCCTTGAATTGTGGTTTTAAAGAGTTAAGATTTTTGCTGAGGGTAGGAGTAGTTTCCATGACCAAGATATAAGTTAGGTAGGTAAATGGTAGGTTAATGATTAGTAGATGCTTAGGCTAGAGCTAATTGGTATAATTATCTGCTATTATGAACTTATATATAGAAGAACGTAAAATAAGTGAAACGTTAATCATGAAGCACGACGCCTCGGATCGTGCCAGAGGGTCACTGAGACCTGATGAAGACTCTCCTGACTTCATCCTTTGAGACCACTGACCTATTTTGAGACCACCGACCCAATTCAAGAGAAGAACTGTGCATGTGTGAAGGACGAATGGGCTCATTTTAATATGGGATGGGGATGGGAGGTGCTGGGGTTATGCATATGTGTTGTATGTAAGATCTTGGGCAATAAATAGAGGGCAAAGAACCTTGTTGGGAGTGGTCACACCTTTGAGAGGTGACTCCCCTGCTGGTGAATAAACACACCACTTTGTAACTTTAATTAGTTACAGGGTTTTTGTCCGTGATTATACCAGTTTTTAACAATTCACCCTGCCCCTCTCTGGGTTCTCCCCCTGGCTGGGCTGACACAGGACTAGAGAACCTCACTTTTTCATCCTGCAGAGCAGGAGCTGGTAGCGTGGGCTGTCTGTAAATGACGGTGCTGTTGTCCTTGCTCTCAGGGTGGAGCCCGCGCTGACCCGCATCAAGGAGGATCGCAAGCGGATCATCCTGCCCGCCATCGACAACATCAAGTACAACACCTTCGAGGTGCAGCAGTATGCCAACGCTGCCCACGGCTACAACTGGGGGCTCTGGTGCATGTACATCATCCCCCCACAGGACTGGCTCGACAAAGGGGATGAGTCAGCTCCCATCAGGTAAATCCCTCTCCCCCGTGCTGTCACTTTGGGCAGAGTGATGTTTCCATCTCAGCCGTCTGCCGAGGGGGATTTTAGGTGAACGAGGCTACAGGCTTTGTGCAGGAATAACAAAATGAGGCTGGAGAAAAAAAGCTCTACAGAGCTCTAGTCTACGGAAGCCGTGGGTGCATGTGCTGCCTTTCAGAGCTGCCTCTCAATGTACACCAGTACTCTGGCTCTGAACGTGTGCTTCAAGCACATTTTCTGACTCTTAGTAGAATAGCAGGATCTGTTTCATCTAACCTTTTATTTTCTAGTGGACTCTGGCCCATTGTGAGTATGAGAAACAAAGGTATTGTGTGTGTGATGACAAAGATTCTGGTTTCAGTCCTCTTCTGTGGGCAGCAGCCTTGGCCATCAGTCCAAACCAGAGCTTCCCAGGAGCACCACTAGGAGCTGTGTTTGAGAGCTGCACTTTTTTTCATTTTTTTTGTGAGTTGGTTTGTTGGTTGGTTTGTGGTGGGTTTTTTGGTTTGGTGTGGTTTTATTGGTTGGTTGTTTTTTGGGGGTTTTTGTTGTTGGTTTGTTTTTTGTTTTTTTTTAACTTTGCACATGTTCAGAGTTTTCTTACTGGCTGAATTTTAAAATGAACACACACCAGACTGTGTAGTCAGTGTGTCAATTTACTTTTCTCTGTAAGAGAACATTTTGCATTACAGACATTGACTTTTCTGAGGAAATGCTGTTACAGGAATTGTGAAGGTGTTTCTGAGAATTGTTACAGTGGGAAAACTGGAACTGATGTGAAAAGAGCTCTTTCTCCCTTCCATTTGAAAATTCACATCTCCTAGGCTTTCATCTGCAGTGCAGATGCTTGTCTAACAGCTCCTCTGGGACACATTGTGCTGAGTTAAGGGTACTGTTGTTACCAACTCCAGAAATAAATGCTAAAAAATCTGAAGCCTACGTATGCACTTTAGGATGCTCTTATTTTTAAGACTTCTTAAGAAGGACACAAATTACCACCTTAAAGTCATCTTCGTTTTCATGTATATCAGCTTCATCTTAAAGTAAGCTAAAACTCTAGTGTATGGTCCCAGTGTGGGCCCTGGCAGAGGAGCTGATGTACTTCCCTTCCAGTGTAAAGCTTGAGGGATCCTGAAAAGCTCATCCAGGTACTTCCAACAACACATCCACCTGAAAAAAATGCCAGTGATCTTTTGGAAGTGAAAAGACACTGACACACTGATCACATTTCTAAGTGATCAGAGGGGTGGGACCACCTCACAGGGTCCTTCTCTCATGCAGAGAGAATATTTTATTTTGTATTTTATTTTAATCTTATTTTATTTTATTATTTATTTATTTTTATTTTATTTTTATTTTAATTTGTATTTGAGCAAGTGTTGCAAATTGTACCCAGGTTCATTCTCATGGCCCATGACTGCAAAACAGAGCTATACAGTAATATTAACCTTATTTACTACAGGACAGCACAGTCCTTCATCACTGACCTTTTGCTTAGCTTGAAACCTCAATAAGCAGGGAAGTAATTACTTAGGAAATCAGTTTTCCTGGATAACATGCCCTGCTTGCCTCACATTGTTTTACAAGTGCAGATGTTTTATACCTGTTTCACTCAGCCCTGAGAAAGTTTCTTGATAAAGAAAAATTAATCATCCCAAGCTTTCACTCCTGAAAGGTTTTGCACACTTCATGACTCACAATTCATATGTGAAATCATTGTGGTAATTTTCCCATGGATGGCTCCAGTATTTTAGTATCTTCTGTTCTGGAGACAATGATCACCTAACAGGTAAGAGTGAGCTAAGAGGTTAAACCTCAGCAATAAAGGGCCTGATTTACCAGGGGCTTCCCTCAGATTTACGTGGTGGTGTCATGCTGTCACTGAGTTGGACTGACACAGAAGTGAACAAATCCAAACTCAAGCTCTGAGCAGTGTTAAAATCTGATGCACATGAGGAGCTGGCTCCCAAGAGCAGCGATTTTATTCTGAACCCAAATGAAGAAACCCTCCAATTCAACAGTGCATAAACTGCCCAGACACAGACAAGACAAGCAGCAGAGGGAGGAGAACACCCAACCCTTGCTGGCAAATATCAGAAGCACTGACACACTGCAACTGCCTAAGCATCTCTCCTGCAAATTAACAATTCCATGCCCTAAAATGCAGAGACATCCACATGGAACCATGAACCCTTCCGTGTCTCCCTGGGCACAAGTTCTTTGAAGGCAGGGATTTAGGAGAGCACAGCATCCACTTTATGGCTACACTGCACTGTGTGTGTGTAGCACCTGGATGGATTTGCTAAAGCATTTGGCTGTTGTGTTGTTCTGCCTTTGGAAATATAATGTGATTTTGTGGCTTTTAAGTGGTATGTCAGTGTAATTATGGTAATATATAGAGTGACTATAGATGTGAGTCTTACTGATGAAAACAATCAGGAAGCCTGTCCTTAGGATTGAGATTTGAAAGCACTCATGGTGGGAACTTAGTAGCTGTGGAATATTTAAAGTGGGATCTCAAAAGGAAGGCAAAGTCAGGCTAGTGAGCAAACTTTTAAAATAATCTCTTGGTTTGGTGCAGGTTTTGGTTTTGTGACCAGCTTTCCAAATCACATATTGCAGCCACGACCCCTGATTCAGTCCACTTTGCAAGACATAGGTGCACTTTGATAGTGTTTGAGTCCATGTCCATTCATAAGATTGCAAAGCTGCTCATCAGCATGAAAACTGCAAGTTCATTTAGTCCTTGCCACCACTGTCCCTCTTAAGGCTTTGTTTGACACTGTTTTCAGCAAGTAATGGGTTTGGTTTGTGCCTCTCTGTGTGTTTTGTGAAAGAAAAGGCTGGTAACAACCCTGTGACTGGTTTTGTGGTTGGTGTAGCTGAATATTTCCGGCCAGATCTCCAAAGGGATTTGAGATTTTCAGCATTAAAGAACATGTGTACCCTGGTATCAGTGAGGATCAGAGCCCTGGCATTTCTCATGTTTGCACTGTGTGAATAAATATCATTGGTGTGCAGAATTGGGTGAGGCATTTGGAAAGCAGGGTCCAATTCCTGTTTTCTTCTGGGACTGCACAACAGATGTGCTTCTTTCCTAAGAATTTTTCTATTTGAAGTCTGATTCTCTAATTTCTTGAACACTGACATTGGTGTGATTCTACTCAGCCTTGCTGGGAAAGGGCAGGAGCTGTCCCTCATGCCAGTGGGTCATTCATGGGCAGTTGTGTCAAGTGTGCTCCATAAAATGTCACATCAGCTGTTGTGAGCTAAGTGACAAAGGGGACGTGGCCTTGAAGTGCTAACAAAGGTAAAGAAATAGCAAGAACAAAGTGTCAGATTTTGTAAAGATTTCTGATGCACTGTAAAGTCAGTTCTTTTTTCCCCCCACGTTAATACTCTGAACTTCAGAACAATTGATGTTCCCCCAGTTGGCTTCTGCAGGCAATCCATTCTACATGTTTGACATTTGAGATGCAAGATGTCTGTAATGTGAAGATTTAAATGAGGATTGTTATTCTGACACGCTCTTTCCATCACGTCATTTTCCATTTGTGTTCCTGCGAGCACGCTGCCCCAAAACGTCCTTATCATCTGGCAACAAACTGTGGAACAAAGGATCCTCCTTCAGAGGGCTTCTAGTGAATTTGGCTATGCATTGAAACAAGCTGGGCTTTTTAATGCACGCTATATTTTTTTTTTCCTCTGGGTTTTGGAACAGCAAGGAAGGTTTCTGGTTATTCTGAGCTCTGGCTCTGCCTTGTCTTCCCTCACCTGCCGTGATTATGATGGACTGCTCTGCATTTGATTTCTTGATCAGCAGCCACTAACATTAGAGTCATTAGTCAGCCTCACCCAGCCAAGCGCTGCACAGCTTTCCATTTTATCTTCCTCCAGCAGCAGTGGTGCATTTCATTGTTGCATATGTTCTCACTTACTGCTCTAATATGCCATAGCTTGGTACCAGTAGGGATGTGTATGTACATGCACTGCATCAGCCGCCCCAGAAGGAGCCAGTGCCTCTCTCGTGGGCATAAATGAGAGTTTGATGTGCCCCCAGTGAAGTGTTTTGTGCTGCTTCCTCTCTCTGGGGGTGTGTGTGCCCACCTCACGTGCCAGTCAGGCCCCGTGCTGGTCTGCAATAACAATTCTGACAAAGCCAATCTGGGCCCTCGCTGCTCTGGGAAGAAATCCACCTGTGTACCTGAGCTTAGGAGGTAAAGTCTTTCATGACAAACCATGCTACCATGTAATAATAAAACTGGTGAGTGTTTACTGACTGCTTATAGCTATCTTTTCAGTTTCTGGTTCACAGGAGCCTCTAACAGAGCAGTTTTGCTTTTATTTGTCCAGGTTCTGATGGGTGTCCTGCCTGTTCCAAGAAATTTACTTCCACAGGACATCAGAGAATTATTCTACATCTGTATTTGCTCTGCCTTTCTAGATGAGCATTACCTTGTCACCTTGTCATTTTTTTCCCCCTGTATCTCCTGAGCAGCAAATCTGTCCTTGAGTTCTGTTCTCAAAGCCTGGTGTGACTCTTTCTTGCAGAAGACATAAGTTGTAAGAAAAATAGAAATACTTCTGCAGGTACCATGCAGGTTTTCCCACTTACATGTCATATCAGGGCTGAGGTGCTGCTTAAGAACCTGAATCAAAGAAACATCCTGCTGGGAGAGGTGGAACACTCAGAGAAATGATGTGTGATGTCATTTGAAACTCCTTGTCTGTATATACACATATATATACATATGTATATATATATTATTCCTGTATATATACATTTATGCTTATATATTTATTTATGGTTCTATTTGTGTTTGAATTTATGCATCTATTGTGAGTGTTTTTCAGTTTTCCTGGAAATTAGAGTTGGCTGCTCAGGAGACTGTTTCAAATGTGACCTGATTGCATTGTGCACATATGTATATATAAGTATATTTATAAATAAATATATATAAATATGTCCTGACCTTAAGGCAGAGGAAGACTGACTGAATCACGTGCAGCTTAGTCCCCATCCCTTTCTCCTTCACTGGTTCCTGATGAAGCCCCCAGGCATCTCCCTTCAGTAAGGGGAAAGAGGGGGATGCACCTGGCTGGAGAAATGGGTGTCAGCACCTGCTGGAATTATTTTACCAACAGAGCTGTGCTCCTGAGGATCTCACTGACACAAAACTGGCTCAGACCTGCAGCAATGCCTTTCTTCCCTGGCCAACGTGCCCTCTGTTCCCTGTGCCCCCTCCCATGCAGGCACTGCCCTCCCCTCCTCTCTTCTGCTGCCACAGGCAGGGAGGGAGGGAAGGAGAGTTCACCACCAGAGACCTCTCTGTGCCTCCTCCCTTTCCCAGGGCAATGCTTCTCTCCTGTCTCCCTTGCCACAGCAGTGCTATCAGGTAATTCCCCCAAGCTGACTATGCTCTCTCTTTCTCCAGTGCAGAATCAATACAATTCTGGGCTGCATTTGAAGCTTTTAGCTGCAAAACCCATTTTGCTGTGTTTCCTACATTATCCTTTGAGTGCTGCTGTTGATTATAATTAATGTTTATAACATCCTCCATTGTGTCACAGAATATTCCACAGATCAATTAAGTTTCACAACACCTTTGAGGTGTTGGTAAGAAATGGTACACTTCTAATTGCTGTTTTCTCCTTCTGGAAGTGTCTCTTTTACTAGAGAGTGCATGATTAAGGGAAAAGGTTGTTTTATATAAAGCAGGTTAATATGTTGTGCTCTGAAGCTGTGAGTGCTGAGGGCTCTCACCTTCTCAGGTGCTGCCCCTTGGGCAGTGGTAAGAGGTGCTAACACAGCTGCTTCTGCTCCTGTGGCCATTTCTAGCTTTCAAGATAAGTCTGCTGCACTGCACTAAAAGTGGTGGATGTACTGGAGTGTTTCAGGAACTGGAAAAACCCAATGAGGGCCTTGAGCTTTTTTTCAAGCATGTTTTTTGAGAAGTGTTTGCAATATGTCAGTGTGACATTGTAGTCCAGTATAAAATGATAAAAGCTGGATGTTGTTCCTTCTGTCATTGTTCTGCTGTTGTTGCTCCCTCCCGAAAACTTTTTTTTTTCTGAAAAGGCTGTGAAGGTTTGGGAAGTCTATATTTGAATATATATCATGAGAAAGGGGAGAGGGAGTTGCAAAGACAGTCCTCAGTGGCATTCGTCTGTGAGTGATGATTATGTAGTTGCATCTAAAATGTATTTCCCACCCCCGTTCAATTAACAACTCAGTGCTTTAATGGACAGAGCCTACAGCTGCAGAAATCCATCCCCCAGAGAGATTCCAGCACCTGGGAGCAGTCTGCAAAGCCTGGCAGTACCATTCCTCATTAGAAAGGGAGGAGATCTCATAGGAGCATCCTTCTGCTGTAAGGAGCTGCCTCCAGAGGATTTTTTGTGGGGTAGGCAGGGCTGGAAAGGAGAAGTCTGAGCTCAAACTAGCACCTCAGTTTTGCAAAGCAATGATGCCTTGATCCACTGAAGCCTGTGTTTAGCTTTAAGTACATGAAAATGAAAATGAAATAAGTGGTGTGTGTTTCTTCCCCCATCTCCTTCCCTCGTCTATCATAGGTAAGACTTTAAAAATATACTTGAAATATTTCTTCCACATGTATTTCATTGCAAAGATACTGAATTACCTTACCTTGGTTGTGTCCTTCTTTTATTTTAGTTCCTAGACCAAATTTATTCCTTGTTACCCTAAGATATGCTTTTCAGTGGTACAAGATGTGAAATCAAGATGTATATAGGATATGTCTCATCCTGTGTACAGGAGAAGTCTCAGCTTTTTTTAGGCAAATCTGTTTCCAGGCTTGGCTCTGGGAAATATAATCAGGAAGATGTATTTTATCAAATAATTTGAATATATAAATGCAAAGATCCTGGTGCATAAATATATGCATCAACAGAGGATGGAAGTGCCCAGCCAGGAGTATCCTTGTGTGGTTTTTATAGAGCCTTGAGACCACTTCTAACTAGAGAATGATTCAACAGAAAGTCTTCAGAAATTACAGCACTAAATAGAGAAGTACTGGAATTTCTTGCAGACATGAAGTGCCATGTGATTGATGCTAATAGGTAAATTTAGAATGTAAACTTGAAGACTAAGAACTGTTTAATCTGTGTAAATGTGTTATGAGGTGGGGTCTGTACTAGCTAATCAATGGCTGAATTTTTTGCATTAATGTCTCTGTGCAGGACACCAGCCATGATCGGATGCTCTTTTGTGGTGGACCGAGAGTATTTTGGTGAGATTGGCCTGCTGGACCCTGGCATGGAGGTCTATGGAGGGGAAAACATTGAATTAGGCATGAGGGTGAGTAACAACAAAGAGACTTTGTGCAGTGTCCATGTGCAAAGAGTGCTGGGGAGCTGTGGCCCAGCAGAGTTGCTGTCTGACTGATGGGCCATTATGCTGCAGTAATTGATGCTGCAACACTACCTGAGGAGTGACAGTGCCAGTAAATGAGTGTTACAGGCCTTGAGAGAACTGATAACAGTCAGGAATTTGCTTTATTGGTCCATCCTGTCAGTGTCTGACCCCAATGAGAAAGGTTTTCCCCTTTCCCAGTATCTTTCCTCTTGCACAGCCACTTTAAGTCTCCATGTGCTCATTGCCCTTAGCCGTGGTTGTACATTTGTGGTCTAACAGATGCAATACCTACAGAAAAACAAGGCCAGGCTGGCAGAAGTCAGTTGTAATGTTCATCATACACATACACCATACATTATGAATGCTGGCAATTTCACAACTCTAAGGATCCTCCTTTTAGAATAAGAACTACAGGGTGCAGGTATTCAATCTTTTGGACAGGTCAGTGTGAAGTGTGGACAGGTGACTTTGGAATAGCATCAGACCCTGTGGCCTGGACCTAAAGGAGATTTGATACCTGTTGTCCCTTGCCCTTGTTTTCAAGGTGGTGCTTGCCAGCAAGTCCTCCTGAAGCCCAAGGAACTTGTCTTCGCTTAGTGTTTGAAAATTAGGCCACTTAATGTTGCATGAACAGAGTTTCCTCATTATAAAGCTGACTGTTTAATTATTTTCTCTTTACTCTTTATCCCCTGCTTCCCAGTAACATGTCCCTGGTGCATGTAATGTGCTCATTAAAGCATATATTCTGCTCGTGGTGAAACATCGAACATCAAATTAGTCCATTCTTTATCTGGCTCTATTTTTTTTTCTAAAATGGCTACAAACTCCTTCACACCATTGGACTGAGGAGGAAGGTCACTGCAGCAAGAGTTTATTTTCACATATGGGTGTGTATTTGTTATTCCAGCACTGCAAGAGGGATGGGGTTTGTAATGGGACTGTGTGAATACACTGCTTATACTTTAAGGTTCAGAATTCACAGAGGGGACAGAAAAACTGCTACCACAAATCATCCAATTTTCCTTAAGAGGGTCAGGCTATTACCAGGATTGTGTGAGCTTTCCTTTATCATTGTGCAGGGCTTTGAGCTGTTTGAAACTTTTTCCACATGGCTGCTCCCAGAATAGATTGAACACTCTGGCAAAACTCTGGCGTGGTTGATGAATAAGCCTCCTAAGAAATCTGAAAGCTGTCGCTCTTCTTAAGACCAGGAGAACTTGCTGAGTACGATTAGGGCTCCTGGTAAACAAAGGCAAAGGTTTTAATAGGATTATGAAATAGCACTTGCTTGAAGAGACAAGGATTTGAGGTGAGTGAGGACAGGTTTTCTGGGATAGAGGACCCGTTAAAGCCTGCAGAAACCTTGGATCTAGAAACCAGATCTCTTTCTTTGGGTTTTATTTTGGTTGGGCTTTTTATTTTTTTTTTTTCCCCCCCATAAGAAAAGCTAACCCTATTGTCTGGGAAAGGTTTTATGAAAGTACAAGGGCATGAGTTTGTTGTGAAATAAGCTGTGTGTCCATAGGACAGGTCTTTTAGTCTGTGTTTCCAGCCTGGATCCATCATGCTAAGTAATATACAGTGTCTGCCTCCTAATTTGCAAATCCTATGTGTGATCCCCTCCTGTGTGTCTTTCAGAGCTGTCAGAAACTAACAGTGTGAAAATGCATGGGAACCTTCTCCCTTCTCTCTAGGCTATTTATAAAACCACTGTGAATTTACCAAGTTGGGGTTTTTTAACTCCAAGTAAATTGCAAAAAATCACTTCTTTCCTGAGGCCTGGTGCAGTGACCCATGCAGGATATTTGGTGCATCACTCCCACCTGCACAGAAGGATGCTGTTGACCATGTGTGACTGCTTGTGTGAAGCAATGAAAAACAGAAAAATGAAGAATAAATGAATTAATAAGCAATGAACAAAAACTATTATATAATAATAAATAATAAGAGGTAGGGAAAGTGGTGGCCCATGCTTGGCTGAAAACAGTCCCTATTTGAAATAGCTGTAACAATAATCTTTTTAAACTTTTTTTGCAAACTATTATCATTTTACTGCCAAGAGAAAAGGGATTAGGCTTGGAGTGCCTGAAATAGATTACATTGCATCTAGTGAACCCTTGTTTAAATTGTTTTAATAGAGTGGAATAGGGAAACTCAGTGAAACTAATGAGCTGATTTGGGAGGATACTGTTTGATAACCCAGCTAATTCCCATGAAATCTCTTATTTATTAAAAAATCATGATCTTGGGTATTCCATTGTTGGCTTTGCACTTTTCTTAATTCCATAGATGGAAATATTTAAATAATTAACTTAAGTGATTTTCTGTTCTGAATAAGCAGTGCAGCAACAGACTGGGGCTGCCTCCTATGCCTACTGAAAATATTTAGGGGCCTGCAGCTCTTTTTTTAAACTCCTATTATTTTTTGAGTAAACTTGACAGTGGTTAGAGCTGCATTGTCCTGATGGGGTGACTTTACACTGAAGCCAATGTCTGTTTGCTAAGAGAGGGAGATTCTGGTTTGATTGAGAAAAAGCACCAGCTGTTGTGGGAATTAAAAGGGAGATGGATAGGTTTGCAGGCTCGTGGTAGTAAGATGGACACTTACATAATGTCACCTTATGCTGTATTTTTTAAAGGTGACAGTCTCACCACCAGGTGGATCAATCTGGGGAATTCTGTTAGGACAAATGTTGCTGTTCTCTCCCTGTTCTCCAACCAGCTACTGAAGCTGATGGGAGTTATTATTAGCACCTAAACACAGGAAATGACAGCATCCAGTCTTGGCTGACTCCTCTGGGGATGAGTTGCCCTTCATGAGCACAGGCTGAAGAAGACACTGTAAATTCAGGGTAGATCATCTTTGATGCTTCTGAACATCAAATGATCTCTCTGACCTGTAGTGATGTCCCAATAGGAAAAACAATTCAGGCATTGCTTGAATGTGGAGGAAGGCAGGGATCCCTTTAAGTGAGGGTCCCAAATCATGACCCTGGAAGAAAATGTGTGCTTTGCAAGTGTTATATGAGTTCCATTCCTAGTGGGAGCTACAGACACTCTTAATAATTTAGAAAGGGATCATATAAACATTAAAAGCCTAGTTTATGATTTAACCTAATACAGGCAGTTTATGATGCATCTTTTTATAGTGAGTCATTAATCATTGCACTAAGGATCCCTTGCTTCCTCTGGTGCTCCAGTGATAAGGTGAATGAATTGCTGTTCTTTTTACTTTGTGCCCATCAGCTGTAATGGTGGGTGGGAAGAGATCAAGCATTTATTTTAAAGGATGCTCTAGCAGAAATTAAATTCTGCTTCCACCATTAGGAATCCAAACAAATTAAATAAAAAATTATGTTGCCACATTGATAACTGCAAGTAAAACTCCTTTTCTTTTATGGCCAGCATCAGACTGCTTTATTCTCAGTAGCACTGTGTCAGCATCAGCAGGTGTGTCCCAGGTAGCTTTGGCCAGTTTTGTGGCCACTGTCAGTGGAATGTCTCTGGGAGCACAGAGCTCCTCAGGATTGAAAAGAGCAGACCCCAGCCAGAATCCAGCTCAGACCCTGTGTGCTCTCTGGAGCTGTGATTTAGTTGGTGATGGAGGCCAAGCTGAAACCACGGGTTGTGTAAACAGAAATGCAGTCCCATCTCTGGCTTTACACAAGTACTGTGTGTACTGTATAAAAAAAATCATGATGCAGATGCACCAAAGCCTCTTTATGAGGAAATGAAGCTCATTACCTAATGGACTTCCATACAAGCAAATCATTATACCTTCCAAACTTGGGTTATATGCTCTGCCTTTGCTTTCTTTAAAAATAGATGAACTACATTTTTTCTGAGCAGAAATGCTAATGGTAGATTGTTGAGCAGTGAATTTTTGACCTCATTTTATTACCTTTAGCTAAAGAGATTTAGATTCCTTTGAGCAGTCAGTGTTTTAAATGCAGATTCCAGACTGGTATGCTGTAATAAAAATGTCACAAGGTTTATGTATAGCAAACTTTAATTCTGAATTCTGGACAATGCTTTTTGCTCTGTGTGATTCATGAGGCCGGGTCCCTAATCTTGGAGCTAAATAGAAACTCAGTTCTGGTGAGTTACTCAAAATTCCAGCATTTTTTCACACGTGCTGTGGTAAAATACAAGTGAAAATTGTATAAAAAGTAGATGTTAATCAAAGTGTCTTATTATGGTGAATCTGAAAATAGTTCATTTTTATTTTGACCTTTCCCAAGCTTTAATTTTTAATATTAAATTAATTCAGTTTTGAATTAAAAGTCTTAAAGCCTTTTAGTTCAAAGATGTTTAATCACTTAAATGATGTTAACAAAACCCCGCAATTGCTGACATCTGAAAAAGTAGCGTGCTCTGTCCTTAGACATGCCTGTTCACACTGGAGTGCAATAAATCAGCCTTTTCAGCATGAAGTTAAATGCTATTAAAATGTTTCTTAGCAGTTCCACACTGCCTAAGCAAAATCCTAGTAAGTGATGTAATCTGCTGTTATTGGAAGTTGCCCCATTGCTTAGGCTGCAAAGATCTCAGTGATAAATCTCCCAGGTCTCACCCACCAGATAAAGTGTATAAGGAAAGGTATCCTCTTTTTCCATCTCCAATTTAATTGAGCAGTTTTAGAGGTTATTTCCTAAGGTAAAAGAATGCTAAGTTTGTCGAGCCAAACATTAAGAAACCATGAAAGGACTGAAGTTGTGGTGCCTGGATTACATTAATTCACAGCTCCCTTCCCTCTTCAGAGCAGGGATTGGAGCAGCTGGTTCTGTGCTGTTGTGCATAAGTGATGAGCCAGGTCCTCAGCACTTCCAAGGGCTCAGCATCTTCTTATTCCATGGGAGTTGCACGGATTCAGGATGGGATTAGGCTTGACATGTGTGCACAGCAGGAATGCATTGTGTCTGGAAGAGGGGACAGGCTTTGTG